GGTCAATGCAGCACCAATCATTTTGGCAAAAATCATTCGATCTCTAAACTTTTGTAGCAGAAATGATAAAGGTCGATTTAATGGATGCTTACAGTTACTTTATGTATGGATCAAGAGTCACATGGAATGTAAAGAAAGTCAATTTCGTAAGCCATACCTTCGTTTCAGTATCCCCATCAAAGAATTCTGTTACAGCCCATGGCCTCAAGAAAAGTTAAAAGAGGAATGGGTTTTCTATTTTTGAGCCCTTGATAGTCAAGGATAGTTTGGAAATCACCTTGGATGCGTCATGAGACGATGTTAAACAGTTGTGAAAATCAACCATGGGTGTTTTTATTAGGTCTATAAGGTGCTGTTATTTATGCTCTAGCTTTAGTGAGAAGATAATCCGGGTGTGAGCAATTTATTCCAGAAACCTATGGACTTAACCAAGAGGAGTTCTCATTCACTGATAAAGGGGCATATGCAATGGTTGAAAAGATCAAGAAAGCATAGAAGCAAACTACCAGGGTTAACCAAGGGAGGTTTACTTATGACATCACTCCAAAATATAGTGTATGACATGCGATGAGGGGAAAAAACATTGTGATTCCCAGTGAATAGTTAGGGCATTCCCCAAAACCCATTCTTTAAGATCTTTTGCTTAAAATGAAAATAGCTAAGAGAAAACTCCAGTATGAGAAAGATGAGTTAGAACAAGAAAACAAGTGATTGAAGATAGAAATGGAAGAGTATTCATGACTTCAAGAACTGAAAATTCAGAGCCTTATAGAGTAAAAGGATCAATGGAAGACCTTATTTAATGATTTAGATATGACACATTCATCAATCACACCCGAGCTTGCCCAATTTTTAAAAAAAATAAATTGTTAAAAGCGAGGGTGAAAGAAGAACAAAAAGTTACTGCTAGGGCACATAAAAATAGTCAAATGCTACGAGAGATAGTGGATCGGTGCACAGCATAAGTAGAAGCTTTGTCTGATGAATGCAGGAAACAAGCTCAACAGAGTGAGTTATGGAAAGACATGTGTACAGAAAAACAAAGGCATCTAAGGCATTTTTTTGATCATATATGCATTGTTGCAGACAAAGCATCAGAAATGAAAGAAAAAGTGGAAAGTTTGAAGGCTATGGTGCAACCAGTGGGAATGCATAGACGACATTTACTTGATTTCCTAGATGAGGCACAAAATCATTACCAATAAGCTAGGAAGTTTATAAGGAGGCATTAGAAATAAAGAATGATATTTAGGACTTTAGAATATTGCTTTGACTTTATTAGGATGTAATTTTGAAATTTTATTTAATAAAGTTTCAAATGGAGATTTTTTTTTATCAATATCGATGATGTGGCAAACATTAGTGCATTTCATGCATACATTTGCATATCATACATAGTTTCTAGTTGTAATTGTGATGCTAAAAGTTCAATGATAGTTCCATCCAGTAAAAACCCCATCCATCGATATAATACAAGAGCCAGGGCCAGACAAATGAAGCAAAAAAATTCTCACCGATTTGAAAAATTAGAAAAAGCTCAGGAAAAAATTACGAATGAGTTAAGTAAAATTTTGGATGCTCTTAACAAAATAAATAAGGAGAAATGAGTAGAAGAGAACACAAGCCAATAAAGCCTGAAGTGACTGACCCCTTATATCCACTTGATTTTGGTCCACCTCAAGCTCAGTCTACATAGGAGCTTCCACCACAACACTTCACATATCCCACATATCTTGAAATGCCATCAACCTCTAATCTAGGTCATTACCATAGCTATGTGAATTTTGTCTTTATTGAAAAGATAGTTGAACTAATTCAAATCTCTGATCTAGATAAACTGAAAGGAAAAGATAAGGAAAAGATAAAAGTGGAAGCTCAGAAAAACTCTAAAATTAGTATGCTAGAACAAAGGCTATGAGCTATGGAAGGAATTGGTTTCATGGTTCAGTTGATGCTGCTGGGCTTTGCTTAGTCCCTGATGTGGTCATTCTTCTTAAGTTCAAAGTATCAGAATTTGAAAAATATGATGGCACAAAGTGCCCAAAAACTCGTATTACCATGTATTGTCGAAAGATGGCAGCCCATGCTCATGAGAAAAAGCTACTAATGCATGTTTTCCAAGACAGTCTAGTGAGTCACAATGAATTGAGGGGCAAGATACCAATAAAAATTCTTTACCTGATCGTATAGGGAGACAATTTTGGAGAATGGAGATAAGGCTGATTGAAAGTTTCTTGTCATTTTAGGATTTTTTTAGAGTAATGTTAGGTTTCTTTTAGGCAGTAGGATTTCATTTGTTATCATTTCAATAAAAGGCAATTTAATGTATTTCATTACATTTTCTTCTTCATTCAACTACTGTTTTATGCTTTGTCATTTTTCATAACTTTTGTTCCCATTCTTGAATTTCGAACGACGAATGTTTAGATAATGGCAGCAATAATTTTGAAATTTAATTTTGAGAACTCATTCACATTGATTTAAGGAGATTATTGAAGCAAAAAAAAAAGTCAGCTACTAACAGATGTGAGGTTAATATATCTTGAAGATGGGCAATTTTTTTTACAAATCCATGAGCTTATTTTTGCTCAATAAATGAGGTTGAAAAAAACTATCTCATTTGGATGGGCGCTCTGAGGATGTTATAACATTTCTCACGCGTAACCGCAATCTTGAATATGAAATCTAGTTTCGTGGACTAAAATTATATTTAAAGATACCTAAGTCAATATTAGGAGTCCTTTTTTAAATGGGATAGACTCTTTCAGGTGGCTAATCATCCTTAACAAAAAAGATTGGTGACGATTCCTTTTAATCTATGTCTAGTGGTATGTCTATGGATTTATACATTATGACATAACTTACCATAACCAATTCCTGAATTTAGTCCTTTTTCTCTGCTAGAATGTTCCTCTAACTGCTGTAGTTAATGCATATCATCTTTTGGACAAAATAACCAATATAACTAGCCATCTTCAACCTACCACTTAAAATAGCCTAACCACCGGTGTTGAACTTAACATGTATTTTCTTTTCAGTTGCTTAAAGTAACTTAAATCATCCCCTAGCTTTTATTTTTTTTCAAAGATGATGCATCAACCAACTGGATTAATGACACATATTTTTTTTTCATGTTCAGTTGATGGAGACGTGTATTTTTCAAAATTCATTATATCGAAAACCAATTATGGAATTGAATGGAAATAAGAGATGTATACTTCGAAAACCTTAATATTTTCTTATTATAAAACAATGAAAAAAGATTTGTTACCTGAAATAAAAAGGCGACGATAACAACAACTATTCGACTGCATAAGGTAGTTAGATTTAAGAACAATGCAATGATGTAGATACAAGAGTGTATAAATTTGAGAAAAACAATTATATAAAGATTGTCAAATACTGCATTTATAATAACAAAAACATCATGCTTGTCTAATATTATTGCATTTATTAAAAAAATGTCATCCTTGTTAAATAATTTTTTTTATAATTTATCAAACACTATATTTACAATAGCCAAAACATCATGCTTGTTAAACAAAATTTTTTATGATTTATCAAACACTAAGTTTATAATGACCAAAATGTCATGCTTATTTATAAAACTAAATCATTATACTTGTTAAATAGAATGTTTTAATTATTTGTCAAATACTATGTTTGTAATGACAAAAATGTCATGCTTATTAAAATCAATATTTTTTGTGATTTGTCGAAAGATTGCATTTATAATGATTGAAAAGTTACGCTTGATTTAAGAAATATTCAAACACAGTATTTGTGTTAACCAAAACGTCATAATTATATAATATTAAGTATTTTTTTACTTATTAAATGTTATTTTTATTATATTTTTATTTTTTATTTATAATATACGGCTTTTAATTAATATAATGAAAAAATAAAAACTTTTTTTACTTTTTAATAAATTAATTAATAAAAATATATAACTACATATATGATAAATTAACAATTAAAAATTATAATATTTATCAAGTATTATTCACTTATAATAAAACATATTATAATAAAAGAAATTTTATTATAAAATTTAAAATTTTACAAATTAAATATAAAAATCTAACATTCAAATAATACAAAAGATTACACCTAACCAATAATTTATAATTTTTCAAGAATCACTTTTACTTACAAAATTTAAATTCCGCCGACTAAACTTTCCCTTACAAATTGTTGCTTTTTACATTTTCCACTTGGCTGACGCCATGCTGCGTGGTGGGTACCCCCGTGCAACTTAATTTATTAGGCATGTTCGACGATCGGTGCGGTCTAGAAGGTCACGTCTCCATAGGGACAATTTTAAACGTTACATCACTATAGATATAAAAAATTATATAAAAATAACAAAATTAAAAATTTTATTAAAGAACATATGTAATATAAATTATAATACAAGAAATTTTATTTTTTATCTGCATTAAAAATAAATATATCATGAATACATATATTTACATATATAATTCTGAGTAATTTATTGATTAAATTATTTTGGTATGGACACTCGGCATTTTGCGTAAGACGAAACTTATATTTAGTTTTTTAAGTAAATTTTATAAAACTTTTTAAAAAATAATTAAATAAAAATTTAATAAAAAATTAAAATCCATAAATTGATAGAATTAAATATAAAAATTAATAATACATAAAAAATTAAAATATTATTTATAATTTTAAATTTAATTGATATTTTTAACTTTAAAAATTATATTAATAATTTTATTAAAAATATTAAAATTTTTTAAAATTTACACACAAAATATATAATAAAACTTTTTAATTTTAATTTTTATTTAGTTATTTTTCATAAAAAATTTCATAAATTTCATAAAAAGATGATGTTTATCTCTTTTCCCTCCGCACGTGCCTTCCACTTAACTTTTTTATGGCAGAAAATCTCTGCCAGATTTCATTGCCTTGTTTTATTTTATACTATAAATAATCCCCCTATTGGGTATCGCAAGTAGCTCACGCCACTGCCAAAATGTCTTCTTCAACATTAGCCTTGCTCTTGGTACTACTTGGAACTCTCTGTGCCTTTTTCTACATCTTTAGGATCACCTCATCCCCATCAAACCACAACAAAAATAGCCGGAAACTTCCACCTGGTCCCCGTGCCCTACCTATAATCGGTAACCTTCACATACTAGGAAAGCTTCCACACCAAAATCTTCACCATCTAGCCAAAAGATATGGCCCCATAATGTCACTAAGGCTAGGCTATGTACCAACAATCGTGGTATCATCACCTCAAGCCGCTGAACTATTCCTCAAAACCCATGATATTGTTTTCGCTAGCAGGCCTAAAGTCGAAGCCTCGGAGTACTTGGCGTATGGTGCCAAGGGCTTGGGTTTGACCGAGTACGGTTCCTATTGGCGAACTGTTCGGAAATGGTGTACTTTGCATCTACTTAGTGCTTCAAAAGTTGAATATTTTTCCCCCATAAGGAAGGCGGAGCTGAGGTCGTTGGTTGAATCAATAAAGAAGGCAGCGGCGGCGGGTGAGACGGTGGACCTTAGCAGAAAGGTAGGTGAGCTTGTTGAAGAAATCATGTGTAAAATTATTTTCGGGCGCTCCAAGGATGATAGATTCAACTTGAAGCCCATAATTGAAGAGACCATGCACCTAACAGGAGCTTTCAACATATCGGATTATGTACCTTTTCTTGCTCCATTTGACCTTCAGGTATATCTTTTGTTGATTTGTTTTTATAAATCCCTTTTCCTATCATTTTAAAAGATGCATGTTATGGATAATAAATTAATATATAATAATTAATCAATTATAATTTAAAAATATAAAATTTATTAAAATATTATGTGAAGTTTATATTTATAAATAATGGGTTTTTATAAAATTTTTATTATAATTGATTAATTGCAGGATTATAATAAAAAATTTTAAAACTGCTTTAATTTTATAATTGTTTAATCAAAATAAAAAAATTTATGTAAAGGTTTACTATTAATAAAAATAAATTTTATATAAAATTGTGGTTAATCTCATATAATTTTATTTTTGACTTGTAATTAATTAATTAATTATAATATATTAATTGCATATGATATACTCTCATTAACTTTCCCTATTATTTTTATTTTATAATTACTATCATTTTCACAAATTTGTCTTACTATAATTTGTTGTTACTTGAACAATTAGATAGGAATCTGGTTTGAACCCCGATTACAATATCCTTGTGGGACATTTAGTTTGGGGAAAGTAAGATATTTTTAGGAATTTTATTTTTTATAATGTGATTTTTATGTTTGATTCCCATATGATTTTTTGAAGTTTTTTATGATTTTCAACAACGTAAAAAAAAAAAAAAAAAAGAAAATAGCTTTGAATCATACATCTTCGTCTTAAGGTTTTTTAAAATTCTCGATAAAATATAAAATTTATTTAACTTTTATCATGAATAAATGGTTTTTATGGTTTATTTTATACTTCAATATCAAAGAAATTACATAATAAACTGAAACCTAAATTGGCACGTACAGAATATTTTAAATCTCATCCTTTGATATCTATCAATGATCATATTTAAATTTTATTTTTTAAAAAATATAAAATTAATTCAGTTTTTATTTGTATTGAATTTTATTCATTAAAAATTTTTTATTTATTAGAATTAAATTTGTATTTAGTCTATACAATTTATTTGAATTTCTTTAATAAAAATACAATAATTATTAATATATGTATATTTTTAATTAATATTAAATTATTTAAAACTAAAATATATCAAACAAATTTATGGATTCTAATTGGTGGTTATAGGATGATAGGGCCTTGGCCCCTAAAATTTTTAAATCCCCTAGCATGGGTATTATAATAAAATTAAATGGTCTTTTTAAACTAAAATTATTAATTTTATTTATTTTTATGTGATCTAATAATTTAGTTTATTCATTATAATTTAAGATATATTAAAATCACAGTACTATTTACTGATTATACCAAACAATCATTACTTACAAATTTTTAAACTCTCCAATCAAATGCCAAACAATTTTTTTTCTTGCTTTCTAGTTGATTACAATTACTCCCTTATGGTTACTTCACTTTTAATTTTACCTTAAATTTTTCTCTTGCTATTATACAATTTTTTCCTACACAAAAGTCATATTGAGATTACTTCATAAAAGGTTAAAAATATCTTACTTCTAATCTTAAAGTTTCAAAGTTTATTATTTTAACGATTATTTTTTGTTGTTTAAATGAAAAATATATATTATTTAATAACAAATTTATATACACTTTTTGTAAAAGAAAATTGTTTACAATTTTAAGTAAGATTCACAATTTTAAGTAAAGTTATTTATTCAATGTATTATGTGTCTTTATGAATTTAGTTTATTAATGGGCAAAATTTATATATTTTGATAGTCTATTATTTGCATATATATATATATTTATATTTAGATGAGAGATCAACTTATATCAATATAAAAATTTTTAGTTTTGCATATTTTTCAAATTATTGATTTTAATAAATTTTATCCCTATATTTATTGGAATCAGTGGTTAAAAAAAAATATAAAACTAAAAAATTATATATTGGCGTAAGTTGATTTTATCTCATATATTTTTATGTATTAATAATATAATAAAAAATTTTATATAAAAATTAAGATTTAATATAATATTAATTGCCCTCTCCAAAATCAATTGTGAATATCCTTCATTGCAAGAGATTATGTTTTTTTAGATTTAAAGTATAGTATTTGTTGAAAATATATTATAAAAAATTTATTTTTATTACTTCTTCGATTTCAACAAATACTATATTTTTAAGATTAAAAACATAATTTTTATTGAAAATATATTATAAAAAATTATATTTTTTTAGCTCTTAGGTTGCAATTCAATTTTTAAGAACTCAAAATACTGCAAATTGATCAAAATAAGTAAGAAATGCAACCTATCTTCTAGCATTTTCACTAAACCCTAATGATGAATAAATTTAATAACTACTTCTATATATATATATCCTCCACAGGGATTAGCACGAAGGTTTAAGAGGATGAGTAAGGTCCTAGATACATTATTGGAGAAAATAATTGATGAACATGAACAAGAGACTAATCCGGAGGAACGAAAACCTCGTAGAGATTTCGTTGATGTTATGGTTTCCCTGCTGAATAAACCCATGAACCCTCACGATGAAGGTCAAGCGTACATAATTGACAGGAGAAACATCAAGGCCATAATATTGGACATGATTTCAGCTTCATTTGACACTTCAGCTGTAGCCATTGAGTGGACATTTTCAGAACTTTTAAGGCATCCACGAGTGATGGTTGGTCTTCAGCAAGAGTTAGAAACCGTCGTCGGAAGGAATAGAATGGTAGAGGAGTCGGATCTACCCAAACTAATTTACTTGGATATGGTTGTCAAAGAAAGCCTGAGGTTGCATACAGTTGCGCCGTTCCTAGTTCCACATGAGTCCATGGAAGATATCGTTATTAATGGATATTTCATACCAAAGAAGTCACGGATCCTAGTGAATACTTGGTCCATGGCACGAGACCAAAATGTTTGGTCAGATAATGCTGAAGAATTTCTTCCAGAAAGATTCATTGATAGCAATATAGACCTTCGAGGACATGATTTCCAGCTGATTCCGTTTGGATCAGGTCGTAGAGGATGCCCTGGGATGCAGTTAGGCCTAGTCACCGTGCGCTTAGTTTTAGCTCAATTAGTCCATTGCTTTGATTGGGAGTTGCCTGATGGGATGCTGCCTAATGAACTGGACATGAGCGAAAAGTTTGGCCTCTCATTGCCAAGGGCGAATCATTTGTTTGTTAAGCCAATTTATCGTTTATTCGATGAAAGAATGTAAAACAAGGGCCGTTGAAATTGAAAATAATGATATTGATGTTATTAAAATTAGTGATTAAATAGTGGTTATGCTTTATCGTTTATTCGATGAAAGAATGTAAAACAAGGGCGCATTCAATGCACCGTTGAAATTGAAAAATGATATTGATGTTTTTAAAATTAGTGATTAAATAGTGGTTATGCTGTGGTGAAAAATAATTGTTTAAACAGATCATGTTTATGCATTAATTATAAAATAAAAATCTTTCTAGATAATGATTTTAACTAATTTTATTTGAAAAGTATTGTGGAATCGTTGAAGCATGATAACTTTTTAAGATCCTAATGTCTCAAAAGCAAAATTTCTGCTGTACTTTTTATTTCTTGTTTCTCTTGCTAAAACAACTAGAACTAAAATATTAAAAAAATCAATTATATAATCTTTAAGTTTTAGAATCTTAATAATTAGTTAGTTTATCAAGAAAATGTTTATCTGTTTTCGTCAAAGAAAAAGTTACTTTATATGTTTTCTTAATCGAAAGATTCGATACTGGCAAACCGAAAGATTTGATAGGTGGGAACCTGGATGTTGACTTGTTCAAACACGGAGCTTTGGACAAACATTTTCAAATTCCGATATGGCTGTACTTGATTTGGAGTATTATTTAATTTATAGAATAATTTTTATTTAATTTTAATTTTAAAATATTTTTTTAATATTAAAATACTTATATTTTAATAAAAAAAATTTAAATCATTGAAGCACGGCAAGGATGGATTCAGAAATTCTAATCAGCGGGGGCAAATAGAATTCAGGATTTCTAATCAATATTTTAAGTTAATTTATTAAAATTTTCATTGAAATACAAATTAATACTCCCTCCATTCAAAATTATTTGAGTGATATTTACTTTCAGAAAGTTTATAAAAAAATTTTAATTTTTATATATTTAATATTAAAATTTATTTTTATAAAATTAAATTTTTATAATTTTTAATGTCAAAATAAAAAACTTAAAATATAAAAAATAAGATATTTAAATATTTAAAAAAAGATGTAATAATTTTGAGATATCTCAAAAAAAAAAAAGATAAACAAAAAAATGAAACAATGAGAGTATATAAACAATTCCAAACAAAATTAACGACAATTTTTTTCCTATAAAAAATACAAAATTTTCTACAACATAAATAATATTTACATAACCAAAATTAATTATATAATTTTTTACCAATATAATTTAAATACTATTACATCATAAATAAATCATCTTTTAATTCAAACACATACACATATATACATATATTGTTATGCCTCGATCTTAATAAGATTTTGTATAAATTTTACCTTTGTATGTTTGTAAGATTATATGTTAGAGTTATACAATTGTTATTGCGTTTTGAGTTCAGGACGTGACATATACAAATATATATATTTAATAACATTTAACTTATAAAAAATTTTAAAATAATATAATATGAGAAAAAAAAAATTAATATGTCTAATTTTATCATTTACTTTTAATAAATAAATAAATAATTTTTATTTTTTCTATTAATTCACGTTTTATATATTATCTATATGAATTATAAAAATATTTTATTGTTTTTTTACAAAGTTGATATATATTACAATGGATCCACAGATTATTAAATAAACAATAACTATTTATTTTGTACAAGTCTAGTGAGGGCCAATATGATAAAATTTTTCCATAAGAGCAAAGCTTTAAAGTCTAGAGGAGACAGCTGCCTCCGCTCCTTGCTAAATCCGTCCATGCAGCCCAACCATGGGCAAGGACAGATTCACCGGGAAATAGTATAAACATAATTGAACCTTAGCAGAGGGGACAAATTATTGGCATTTGATGCAATGATCGATTATTAGGATTCAGATATAGATATATATTCGCTGTAGCATATAAGATATATAACAGCCCTATGTCATCATTGATACTAAATATGACAGATCAATTTTTTTTTATCAACAGTCATATTATATTCGACGACCGAAGAATTGCTCTGCCTGATTCTCTTTCCATAAATTATTATTTTTTTATTTTTCCTTTGCGTCATCGGAATTTCTTTCTTGTCAATTACAGTTTGCCTATTCATGATTAATTTGTTTTTACCCTTTTTTTTTTTTTTAAAATTTGACGGGTGATCAGCAGCTCTAAAGTCACGATACTAATCCACTTGAAAGTTATTATTCATTTAATTCATTAAATCTCGTTGTATAAAAAAAATTATTTTATAAATTGAATATGATATACAAATCCAATCAATGTAAAATTGACGACTTTTCTCCAACACCATGAGATCTGGCCAGCTAGCTCATGATTCCATCCATATATTTTTCAAATGATTGATGATTGCTCGCCTATTCTATTCCCAAGCAAGCTCGCCACCCAATGTGACCAACTTTATCCCTGCTCCAGACGCATTTGAATATACCCGTACTAATTTTAAAGACATATTTTGATGCAGCGGCGGAGCATTTTAGGCTCCAGAAGGAGCACGACTGATTGAGTCCTTTGACTTAAAATTAATTTTAAAATTACAAATTATTTTTAAAAATTTTTTAAAAAATTTATTTATTCAATTTATTTATTATTAAGATTAATATTAATTTTATTAGCTATTGCTATCGATAGAGCATTTTTTTAAAAAGAAAATATTAAAAATTTGTTTACAAAATTAAATGGAAGATTAATGATATAACGATATTTTAATGGTATATAATGAAAAAATATATATTCAAAAGTATTGATAATAAAACTGTTATGCAATGTTTTCAATGTATAAAATCTATTCTGAGGACAATTGTAAATTTTTTAACAATTATGATGAAATATAAAAGTTTTAATATTATTTAATATTTATATTTGATATACTTTCAGTATAAAAATATCATATATTATTAGTAAATAATATAATGACATCTTATAAAAAATTAATTTTAAAATCTTAAAAAATAAATATATTTATTCTTAAAAATATACTTAAAATTAATTTTTATGAGATATCATTTTATGATTTACTAATAATATATAATATTTATATACTAATAAAATATTAAATATAATTTTTTTATCACTATTATCATTATCATCATCATCATCATCATCATCATCATCATTATTATTATTTATAATTTAAGATATTTAACTAAACCCTTATTAAGTAATTTTTTTTACTCTATTGTTATTTGCCATTGGATCAGCCAATTAAGAGTAAGAGAATTATTAGAAAAAAGAAAAAAAAAAAAAAAACAACAACATGGTCACTTATAAGAGTAATTATGGTGGAAAAAAAACTCAAAAATCATGATCCTAAGAGAATCACTTAGAGTGGGTATTGGTGGTATTGAGCTTATAGGGGGTAAAAATATGAAAGTATAAAAGAAAAAGATAGGTCAACAACAAATGCCAAAAGGTTTTTTGTTTTTGTGCTCCAACGCTCAAGTCAGTACTCGATCAAAGAGTGAAAAGGAGAAAGGCAAAATGCATGTATGGTAACTAGAGTTGCAATTAGTTTAGAAGTACTTAGAATGAGATATTTATACTTATACGATAGGGGACCTTAGGTGTAGGAGGATTAAGGTTGACATCATAGGCACGAGCAAAACTAGTAATTGATAATCCAATCAGGAGGTGACAAGTCAATGTCTCTATGTGCCAATTGGTGGTTAGTTAAGGTAGCCGAGCTGATGAGGACTTGAAAAATTAGGTTGGCCTGACACATCAACTTGAACAAAATGACCAAGCTGTCTCCTCTTAACAACTAACTTTTACTTTGAGGGAAAAAGTCCATTTTGGCCTTTGAACACTAAAATGCCCTTGATAGACATTAAGGCCTTAATTTGCATAAAAACCAAAAATTGTTGAAACAATGACCTGTCATAAAAGGACAAATGTTCGCTTGAAAATCTACCTTGCTTAGGTTGATATTGGCTCCATTAGAACTATCCTCGATTGTATCAATAACATCAATCATCAATAATATATAATTGAAGTTACTTTTTTAAGATGATTATTTAATTAAAGAATAACTCATAATTAAATTACCCAATTGCTTATTATGTCTCTTTGTATTTTTTTTATTTTGTTTTAAATGAAGAAAGAAAAGGAAAAGAAAAAGTCAAATTATGTCAGAGATCTTTATATTTTGTAAATATTAAAAATTTAGTTATTATACTGTAATTCATACAAATTTAGCTTTTATATTATTTTGATTTGATAATTTTAGTCTAATAACTAATTTCGTTAATTTTTTATTTTTCAAAATAATGACGTGGTCAATGACTTAATGATATAGGCATTAACTTAGTTGAGATGATGTTGACTTATTGATTTGGTAACTTGGATATATGAAATCAGTTGTCAAATTATATAAATATTTTTTTTACTCATATGGAATTTGAAATTTAGTCTCTTTAGTACAATTTCATAAAAATTTCATTCTCATACAAATTGAAATTAATAATATTGTTACAATTATTAATAAAAATCATTTTTTATTTTTTAAATCAGATTTCACTTTTTTAAAAAAATCAAATATCACATTTTAGAAATTTTTTATTTTAAATTATTAATTTAATATTTTTAAATATTTTAATTTTTAACAAGTTATATTTTTTGAATTTTTTAAATTCATATTTTAATTTTTTAAAATTCAATATTTTGAATTTTTAAAAATTTTCTAAATTTTTAAAAATATTAAATGTACATTTTTCACTATTTTAATTTTTAGATAAAAATCATTTTTTGAAAATTTTGAAATTTTAACATTTTATTGCATCAAAATATTTAATTTTTTGTTTTTCTTACTTTTTGAAACTTTTATAAAGTTATCTCTATTTTTATGATTTTTAGATATTTTCTATATTTTTTTAATATTTAAATAAAAATAAATAAATTATAAAAAGATACGAGTCTTTAGAATTTATTCTATTTTGGTTTATTTGAAGTGGAAAAGCAAAAAATATGGAATAAAATAGAGAAATAGCAAAACACGAAAAACTTCTAATTCTAATTTATTGTTTACTTGAATTAGAATAAAAAAAATGTAAAATTTTTTTTAAAATTATAAAATCTTTTTAAAAATATAAAATATTATAAAAATATTCTAAGCAACATAAAAATTTTAAAATATGGAAAATTTTATAAAAATCATAAAATTAAATATTTTTTATAAATAAAAGTG